CAAACATCTGTTGGGTCAGGGGGAACATTGTAACTCATGGCCCTTGCTGTGAGATATCATGAGTTCCAGCAGGGAGCTGCACATCTGTCAGTGCCCACAGAGCCAGATTTTTAAAGGTATTTAGGCCCCCAACTGCTACTGACATAGTCTTTCTGTGCACCAGTTCCCCATCTGTAAGATGGAGCTAATAGCACTTTCCCACCTCACAGCAGTTTTGTGAAGATAATTACATTAAAGATTGGGAAGAGCTCAAATACTACAGTGCTGGGGCCATATAAATGCCATATTTACCTGCATCCAAGATGACTTTGAATTTAAGATGACTCCCCAGTAGTTAGATTTTATGCTTGGAAATTTATAAATCTGTTATAATTTTCCAGGTATAGAATCTAATTGGTGGACAGCCATCCTAAATTTGTCCCCCCCACTACTGTGGCAGAGAAAGCAACAGTGGGGGCAAGGGGCCATACCCCTGCCCCTTGCATCCCACATCTCTTTGTTCTCTCCACCTGCCCCCCTGCCACTTGCCCCCTGCCTCCTGTAACCCTTGTCCCCACCCTATGCCTGTGCCTAATCCTTGGCATCTTCTCCCCTTCAGTGCCTGTCCCTTACACCTTTTGTCACACCTCCCCCATGCCTGTGCTTAACCTTTGTTGTCTATTCCCCCCACTCTGCCCCCATACCTGCTTCTCTCAAACCCTGTCCAACAAAGCTTTTTTTCCCCCCATGTTTTTTCTTCCAGCACACAACTTGTCTTGGATGCAAGTAAATATGGTAGATAAGGTCAGTAGCATAATGAAGGGTAAGCAAGAGTGACATGCATCATTAGTACATTGACTGCTTGTAATTCACTATTTCATGATTGTGCAAAGGGATGATGGGGTAAAGGTGCAGAGACCCCTACCATTGAATCCTATACCTTAACTTCCTTTATAAAGACATAGTATTCAGGGCTGGACATCACAAACCAGGAATGATCTTTGCTGCATCCTTTGCCTATATTGCTAGAATAGAACACAGGTGACAGCTTTAAGGGACTAGAACTAAAGTCTTTCATGCATATGCTTACTGTTTACCTTGGGAATCTCTGCCTACCTCTTTCCTCTGCCAATAAAATGCCCCCATGAGCTGCCATTGGTCTGCTACCCTAATACCAGATGCTAAGAAAACCCTAATCTACCTTCAATATAGATTATGATTTCTTAATATATGTATTTCTCTTGCCTCAATTGGAATTATATGATGAGTATATTTTTCCCCTTTTCAGAATAACTTGACATTTACAGGTACCATCAGTGGAGATGTTTGTGTTTGGAAAGAGAATGTATTGGTACGAATTGTGGCCAAAGCTCACAATGGGCCTGTTTTCACAATGTACACCACACTAAGAGATGGCCTGATCGTAACAGGAGGCAAGGAAAGACCGTGAGTCTTATTTTTATTCTCATGCAAATATACATTACTAAGATATTATGTAATGTATAAACATACTTAATGTCATTAACTTTCAGTATGTACCCTCAGTCATTTTATTTAATCACATATGCAAACTACTTCCAATTTTTCAAGATGTCTTTACTACCATCTTTACCCAAATATAATACAGCTCTGAATTGAAGATGACCCCGCAAGTAATTAGATTCCATACATGAAAACATTTATATTTTTTTTTATAATATTCCATGTATAGAATCTAATTATTGGAGGATCATCTTAAATTATTGGAGGATCATCCCTGACGTATGGGGGGAAAAGTGATGAGGGGGACAGATAGTGGGGAAGGCAATTATGGAGAAGGCAGTAGGGGAGCATGTGGTAGGGCAGGCAGTGGAGGGAACAGTGGGGGACAGACAGTAGGGGGACAGGTAGTAGGGGGCAGGCACTGTGGAGGTGGTAGGACAGGGAGCAGGGAAGGCAGGCATCTTGCCCCCTGTTGCCTGTCCCCTCCTCCCTCCCCATTTACCTTCCCTGTTGTGCCTTCCCCTCATAGTCTCTTCCCCTTCTCCCATCCCCCCGCTTTCTCCCTCCATGCTGCTTCTGCTCCCTGCAGCCTTGGGTCCCCACCGCCTGATTTTTTCTGTCCTTTCCGCCCACCCCCCCAACCTGCCCCTCCACCTCCCTTTTATCATTGCTCCATGCCGGCAGGCTCTATTCCTACTGCAGCCTAGGGGCATCAAGTACAGCTCCAGCCTGGCCCTACAGCAGTGGCCTGGAGCCAACACCACTGCTACAGGGCCAGGCTAGAGCACGTGCTCCATGCTCTCGGCTGCCATGAGGACATAGCATGCTTGTGCAAAGCAAAATTAAGGAGGAGTGCAGCAGGGGGAAAGAGAGGAGGAGAAGTGTCATGGCAGGGAGAGAAGGTGCAGTGGGGGCTTGAGGCCAAGGTGGGGAGTGGCAGGGTATGCAGAGGCAGTGGAGTCGGGCAGCAGCTGTAGCTCTGACCCCAACTCAGTCAGGCAGCAGTTGCCTGCCCCCCACTTCCTCATACTCAATTACAAGACAAGGGTTTTTTTTTCCTCCATGTTAAATGGGGGGATTCATCTTTTAATCAAGTAAATACAATATTTACGTGTGGCTAGAAGACCAACTAGGTACTGGTAAATACATAACAATTCCTTGATGGAAGCATTAAATACATTCCAGCACATAAAGTAACTAGAGTTTCTCTGAGTTCATTCTGTGGAGTCCTTAGTGAGATACAGTAACTCTTCTTAAGTTGAAGATAGTTTGACTCTATTTTAAATTAAAACCATCATTGTTGTATTTGTAGGTTCATCCCCAATCATTTCCCCTAACGTTTTGCTAAAAAGTGCAGTTCTCCTTGTCCCAATAGTGTTACCTTGAGGGGAAAAAAAGTGTGTGTTCAGGCTGAATTTTCATTTGTCTATTATTGTACTTACTGTCCAGCAGAATTAGTAAAAGATGCCCGTTTATTCCTTGAATTGCATTCTGCAAATCACAACCTTTCTTATTAATAAGAAACAAAAGATGTATGGATACGTACATATGTGTTAGAGGGAACTTGATGTATGCAATACACTTGCATACCTTTGTGACCCTTTAGCTTCACAGACTTTGAAGGATCTGTTGTAATAGCTCCTCTAAGAACAGTGTAAGTCTGAATAAAGTACACACCAGCATGTGCTCATGACAAGTTAGAATCATCCGTTTAATGTGCTTTAGTTTTAACACTGACAGTGGAATGTATAATTAAAAATAGTTTCCATGGAGCTTGCACAACCTATCAAATAGATATTCAGTCTTATTGTTCTATCCTTCCTTCTTACTGCTTTATGAGGTAGGGGTGTTCTGAATTGTACTGAAAGTTGGGCAGGCCCATGGACAAGGCCAGAACTGAATTAGTGAGAGCACAAGAATAACATGGGGCTCTGACAGAAGTTCAGGCCTCCAGTCTAACTCATAGTGCTTTTTATAAAGTGCCATGAGTTAGAGCACTCCCCCTTCAATCCCATAGCCTGTGGTGGGGTACGGGAATTGAGCCTACCTAGCCAGGCAAGAAGCACCTCTTCCCAGCTCCAGCACCCCTCCTAGCTCCGGGACTGTCACCAGGGAGGGAGGGGGAGGAGGGAGGGGAAAGCCAGTAGCAGTGAGCTTCTCTTTTCAGGAGCTGCCAGCTCACCTGGCCTAGGTTGGAGGTGGGGGGTAGATCAGAGCCCCCCTGCCTTGTGGGCCTGGCCTGGCTACCCCCAGTACCCCAGCTGGGGGAGACATGGGGAGGGCTGCAATCCACACACACTGCCCACTCAGGGCAGGCAAGCTGGCAGCTTGTGAAAGGAGCAGCTCACTGCTGCTAGCTTGCCCCTCCCTTCCTGATGATAGCTGCATCAGCTCAGTCCCAAACACACAAGGGCATGCACTGTTTTTGTGGGGCAGCATTCCCCACACTGCCCTCCCTGCAAGCTCTGCAGCAAATATGGACTTCAGGGCTTGCAGTGGGTGCAATGCTGCGAATGCTTACCCCGCTGTGAGCATTGTTGGCTGGGGGCTTACAGCAGGGCAATGAGGAGAACACTGCCCCCACTGGGAGCCTTGAGGTGTGGGGCTCTCAGTGGTGGCAGCATTCCCTCACGCTGTCCTTGCTGCAGGCCCAGAGCCCATGTCCCTGTGGGGCTTGCAGTGGGGGCAACGTGGAGGAACACAGCTGCTATTGTGTGCCCCACACCTTAGGAGGCTCATACTGGAGGAAATGTTATTCCCATTGCCCCTGCTTCAAGCCCTGCAGCTGGGGAGGCTCAGGAGGTAGGGGGACAACGTTCTGTCTGCTGCAAGCCCCTCAGCTGGGGAGGCTCAGGGGGTAGGGGGGCAACGTTCTGTCTGCTGCAAGCCCCTCAGCTGCGGGGCTGGCAGCAGGTGGTGCACCCCTGTGGCTCAGAGTCCCTTAAACAATATGGCCCCCAGCTGCAGGGGAGCATTTGGCCACACAATTAATAGCACGATTAGAACAAGTTACAAAGTTTTTACACATTTTTGTGGAATAACTTTGTAGCTTGCTGCTTGTTTTATCACACCATTAATTGGTTGAATATGTAGCTGGGTCACAACTTAAGGCATGATAACCTAGTTATTCATGCCTTAAGTGTAATGTGTAATGGGGGCCCTATAGAGCAGGCATTATATTTGTAACTTGTTCTGTTAAACATCTAGCACACTAAAGGTATTGAATAAGTGCTGTTTATAGTCATTAAGAATATGTATTCCAAATTTGATTCTCATTTCTGATTCTCTGGTTTCTCTTTCTCATTTCACATTTTTCTCTTCTGTTTCTTTTTCTTTTAATTCCAATTCCCACTTTCCTCCTGCTTTTTTTCCTCTCACCATCTTCTGGAATTAGTGTTATATTGTGATAGCATCACTTTTAATCTAAAGTACTAAACCAACAGGTTTGTTGGTTTCTTTTGTTTTGTCTGTTTCTTATTTTATTTTTGTCACATGCTAAAAGAGTTTTCCAAGTTTAAGTTCACTGTTGTAGAGGAAAAAACATCCCATGTTTGAGGAACATTGTCCATTTCCATGGACAATAAACAAGAAAAATGTTACTTAAACCAAGTTGGTCAGCTTCATAGAAGTAGTATAGTACATCATCAATAATTCACATCAAATAGTGGGTATGTTTTGAAGGATGAGATTGAGAGGTTCAAAATAACTGAAAAGCAAATCTATCCTTAAATCAAAAGCTGAAAACAATTCATAACTAACCATTCTGTACGTATTAACTCTATTTGTTTTGTTTGGTTACAGAGTTTTATAGAGGACTATATTACATATTAAGAGCTTTTCCTATACAAAGCAAAAGGAATCTTTAAGGAATAAACTTAGAATGTCTTTACTGAAGTTATATTTCACTATATAAAATTTTTAAAAATTCATTAACATTTTTCAGTTGGCTTTCATACTTTGTGAGTTTTGGCTGTTTTCTTATAAGGTCAAAGGAAGGAGGAGCAGTTAAACTATGGGATCAAGAGCTGAAGCGATGTCGTGCCTTCAGACTGGAAACAGGACAGATTACTGACTGTGTTCGCTCTGTTTGCAGAGGCAAAGTAAGGCTTGTTCTCTTTAATACACTGCTGAGAACCTTAGGGTTATTATTCAGCTGATAGATATGCAGAAGACTTTGTTGCTGCTTTGTTGCTACTTGCTCTTGTGAGTGTTCATTTGAATAATTAAGTTAAGTTGATGCCAACTTATTTTACATAGTATTAAGTAGTGTCTAATTTAAACTATTAAATGCTTTTAAATTAAAGGTATTGGTATGGCTATGGATAATTTGTCAGAAAGCTGATTTTCCAGCAAAAACAGAAATACATTTCAGAAATGTTGGTTCTAATTAGGCTGATATTTCTCTATTCAGATTTATCTCTCATATCTGTCTTCTGAATGGAAATTCAGGTAGTCATATAATTGACATATAATATTTCCACAATTCTTCTAGAATCTTGCCATTTTGGTTTCAAATCATGAAACGATTTTGAAAAAAACGTTTTCAAATATGATCTTCCCATTAGAAAATAATTTAACTTTTATTACCTGATTTAAGCAGTCCCTGTTGGTAGAATTGTAGCAACAGTTGGTTTCTTGCTATTTGTTATCCCTAGTTTGTGTAAAACAGTAGTACTTCTTTCACTATTGTTCAAGGGGAAAATTCTTGTTGGGACAAGAAATGCTGAAATAATTGAAGTTGGAGAGAAAAATGCAGCATGTAACATTCTAATTAATGGTCATATGGATGGTCCTATCTGGGGACTGGCAACGCATCCTTCAAGAGATTTTTTCCTTTCTGCCGCAGAAGATGGGACAGTGAGACTGTGGGATATTGCTGAAAAGGTAGGTGCACAGTTAGTAAGGTAAGGCAACTATCTGTTTTCCTAGGCAAAAATGATCCTCAGATTTATCTAACAGCTGAGGATTTGAAATTTATTTTTCCTAACGTAGTTTGAGAAGTGACACTAACATGTCATTACATTGTCTTTCGTTTTGAAAATAATTAAGTTGATACACTTTTAAATTGATTGAAGAGTATTTTGAAATGTGCATAGATATAAACATTTACTCCTCCGTGGTTTTTTTCATTATTTTCTCACAGAAGATGCTGAACAAAGTCAGTTTGGGACATGCAGCTCGTACAGTTTGTTACAGCCCAGAAGGTGATATGGTGGCTATTGGCATGAAAAATGGGGAATTTATCATCTTGCTTGTGACCTCATTAAAAATATGGGGGAAAAAAAGAGACCGAAGATCAGCTATCCAAGACATCAGGTCAGAAAATTCATGCCATTTATCTACTCTGGTGCAGTAGAACTGAGAGAGATGAACTGAGTTTATAAAGTTAAAAAATACATTTTTTTCATATGAAATAATCTATTTTATAAACCCCAGATTCAGATTTGCTAAAATACCTAAAAAAAATATTTATCCACTCTCAACTCAGTATAATTTTTTTAATGTGTACTTGGAATGTAAATTGTTCAGTATCCATTGTACAGAGCTGTATACATTTTTTGCAGAGACAGAACAGAATGAATAGTTCACAGAGTTGGTGCAATAACACCCATATAGAGCATAACCAGGAGAAATGACATATTATCTGAAGATGCAACAGAGTAACCAAACAGAAAGCAGAGGCTTAAAGAGAAAAAAAAATGTTAGCAAGTTTAGCCAGAGACTGGTATGATGATGGATCTATTAAGAGGGGTCCATTAAAATCCAAAAGAGAAGATCCAAAAAAGAAGAAATTCCTCCTCTTGTGAACAGAAGCAAAAAACCTCGTGCAGAGAATGATTTACAAATGAAGAAGTGACTCTTCTGGGAGTCACAAGGTGGGGAGGTAGAAGATAAGAGCTGAAGTTGTGTAGTGAGTAGGGCAGAGGCTGAATACAAAATAAAAGGGTAAGATGGAAGAAGATCATGGAGGGATTTTGAAAATCAGGAGGGCAGTTATGAAATGCAGTTAGATATAAATCGTAAGTTAATACCTGTAATAAAAGATGGGCAAGTAATAACATCCTTGTCATTTAGGTGCAAGCACAGTTAAGCTGCCACTTGCTGAACCTTGTATATTTTAAAAAGCTGTGCCCAGATATTCTATCCGGCCTTATTGCCATTCCAATTTCTGACTTCCTCTCAAATTATTATTTCAGTTTCAAACCTTACTCTATATATGAAGTAATCTTCTTTTTTTCAGCTGTTGTTGTTCCTAAGAAGTGTATATTCCTCCATATTTAGTCCTGCTAAATTTCATATTGTATCTACATTTCATTCTTTGTGTCATAAATTTTTGTGCTCTTCTTTTACAAAGTAGTGAAGGTTAGATCACATCCAGGGGCTGGAAACTTATTCTTTGGCTAAAACAAAATTCTCTTATACTAAACATAAAATGCTTTTGTGAAGAGATCTCATAGGGCGTGTCCACACATGCAAGCACGTGGACTTGCAGCAGGTCAAATAGAAGCGGTGCAAATTTGAACCGGGGCTTTTTGCCTCAGTGCACTTGCTTGGACATGCACTTTGTTGTGGAGCAAATTGTGTCACTTGGGGCAAAATAACCCTGCCTGGCTCCTCCCAGATCTGCAGCCAGGGGGAGCTAGAGCCCGGGGCCAGCACCTGTGCTGACCCCAGCAGTACAAAAAGCTGCCCTGGGAAGTAGCTCAGGGCTACTTGCTCTCAGGACCTTCAGGGGCCCAGCCAATTGGTACCTGGGGACACTACCCCTTGTGCCAGCTGGATTGCTGAAGCAGCCCTGAGAGTTCCCTGCACCCTTTACTCACTGCAGCAGTCTGGCAGTGGGGGCTGCTGCCTGGCTGTGACCAGCTGCACACTTGCCAGACCCAGACAGGAACTGCACAGCCAGTAGAGGCATCTGCCCCTCGGGGCCAGCTGGCAGGGGGGGCC